GAGCAGTGTTGGCTTAGTGGCTTCAGCGTGCGACTCTCGTCCCTGAGGTCGTAGTTTCGATCCCCGTTTGAATGAAATATTTCTATGGGCGCATTTAACATCGTGAGGAAACCAGCTTGTTTAGACCCAAAAAGTCGACAGCGTGTATGATCACCTACTTGCCTATTGGATTTACAAATGATCATGAAACAGGTACAGAAATCTAATAAAAATAATCTAAAAATGTTGCAGCGCCACTGATTTTTATTGATAATAACATATAGTAACTATAGGTAACTGTTAAATTTATGAAAATCATTCATATCCGTGTTTTCTAAATTTTTTATACATAAAATGCATTGTATCAATGCAAAAGTTGGTCATGCATTTAATTTGAATTTTAGACGTCAATGGCATACATTTATTAATAGAAGGAAAGTTTCCCTAAATGCTAAATACGTGTCAGATGCAGCATCCCACCCAACTTTGTAAACATCAGTGCATTTTTGGCCGCGTCGTAGTCGCACGTACTTTGCGTGCGCAGTTGTGAGCGTACACGTGCACGCTATTACGCGCTATACGTTATTAAACTACGGTTTATTTTCCTTTGGTGAAGGTTGGCCAAGTGATAAAATTGTGTGAATACACGATAATGTAAAAGAAAAATGCTTACATTTTGGTGGTTTATAAGCCGTGCTTATTAATTATTACTTAGTCTAGACATAATGTAAACAAATTCAAACTTAAACTTGCCTCATGTTTTGATTTTGCGCATAAATAATTATAAACTGAGAGATTAAATAGGATATAATTTAATTCGATTAATCTTGGTCTATTCCCGAACTATTTTAGACTATTCTATTATAGCAAGGGATCATTGTACTACACTTTGCATTGTTTTAAATAAATAACGAACTAACATATAGTGTATTTATGATAAGAATATTGAATCTAAGGAAGGTAAAGCGGGGTCATCGTACAACTCAATGAAGCTTTGTTTATAATTAATTAAGGTTTTTTTGTACCAGATGTGTCGTTTTATCTCGGTATTAATAACTGTCTGGTGCTTCGTATCATGAAACTAATTGTTTGAGTTCAAAGGAGCTTATCGTTAAAGATATAGAATAAAGGACCTTAATGTATAGAGTATCCACACAAAGGGGCATGTGTCTGACATATTTAACAGTTTGTTTCATGGTCTCCTGTGCCTGAAATTCTCTAATTTAGGGGTTTTGCCTGACATTTTGTTCCAGTTAATGTTGGGTCTTAGATATCTTTCCTCGCGATGTTTTCCTTTACCGGGTCAGTAAATATGAATTGCGCTAATATAAAGAAAAATCTATTGATGAACAGAGAGATCAAAAACACACGATCTCTGAAATCGTAATAATATTGATTTTATTTTTTAAAGAAGTAGCGTTCGCGGAACGTAAGTTAACTGAACCTCAGCCTCATATTTGAATTTTGCTTAGCATTAGGATCGTTGACAAGGGTGGTGTTTTTATGTGGGACGTTAAAATCGTTTCCCCTAAGTATATTTCGGACCGTCAATGAGGGGAGATACAATAATCTTCTATACATTGAATATTCGCTGTATTGTTAAATTTCGTTAAAAAAATGAGCTTTTCAGCGTCAAGTGAAGAGTAAATATTTATAGCCTGGTTGGTTAAAGGCTTGTTGCATTTTATCCGTTGTTTTTAAGTTTGATTCCCGATTAAGTGTTAATTGGTTTGGCATTGAATGTTGCTTATCTATAAAAATGCAAATTATTAACAGACAAACATGTGTCTGCATATTTCCCATTACGGAACTTTATCAAAATTTAGACTAACAATACCTATGAAGCGAAACAATGAAGAGTTTTTTTATAGATGATGTTTCAGTATACACAGAACTATTTAAGTGATCATAAATAAATGGCCTTGTCAACCAGAACTATCAACTTAATTAGCAAATAACAATTAATACAATTAATGTGAAAAATATACAGTTTATTTTTTTAGATCTGTTATATTTTTTATTGTTATCATAATATCCTAACTTTCTAAAATATATATTTCTTATATATAAAATTCTCGTGTCTCGAAACGGCTCGACCAATTCTTATGAATTTTTTTATGCATATCCAGTAAGTCTGATAATCGGCTTCTATCTATCATTCAAATCCCTAAGTGATAAGGGGTGTCCAACCCAAAACATTTATTTTTTATTTTTTAGAAAAAAAAATAGTTTTAATTTTTTTATACAGAAATACATATAACCCCTAATTTTAACCCCTCTACTATCAACACCTATTTTTTATTATTTTAGTTATTTTTATTAAACTAAAAAAATGTTTCCTAGAAATAATATACATGGCAAAACAAACTTTTGCCGGGTCAGCTAGTATATTATCTATAATATCCATGGCTTTCTTCTATTTTTTCAATCTACCAATTTTTAAAGCCCCTCTTCTCCTTGGCCCTTTTCTTAATTAAGTGTATTATTAAAGCCACTATATTTCTAGAAAGCTTCATGAAACTACTGTTCGGTACACCTAAGCTTTTAAAATAATTAATAATAATTGCTCTTTTTATACCTGACAACGTTTTGACGGTTTTCTTTCCAAAGTAAATAATTGAAGGAAATAAGTGTTATTGTTTGAAACAAATGTTTCGTCTCAAACAGGTCTGTGATATATCACTCACTCGGTCGTTAATGTTCATGTGGAATAGTGTGCCTTATTCGTGTGATGGTAAGGCCGAAAACTGTTTGACAACGGTTAAATTATCTGTGTAAATTTTTTAAAAACGACATCGTAGTCATAGTATAAGATAACTTAGTATACTGTCGCTTGAAACTAAAATAAAATAAATAAGTGGCGCTACAACCTTTATAAGTCTGGGCATCAGATTCCTGTATCTGTTTCATGATCATTTGTAAATCTAATAGGCAAGGTGGAGATCAGCCTCCTGTGCCTGACACACGCCGTCGACTTTTTGGGTCTTAGACCCAAGCCGGTTTCCTCACGATGTTTTTATTCACCGTTCCAGCGAATGTTAAATGTCTAACAATAATACTATATACATATATTATATTGTGACATATATTGATCATTTAATTTAAAATCTACTACGATACCAATCTGCTGGATTTTGAAGTCCTGTCAATTTATGCCTGAATGATACAGGATTGGGATATTTTATTGGGATATTTTATTTATTGTTATGTTTCCGATTAGACAAAACGCAATTAAAAAACTTCAGATAGGAGATACTTCTTTAGTTAAAAACAATCATGTTGGTCGGCCACAGATTTCTGTATTTGTTTTGTGATCATTTGCTTTTTCTTTGCCCCAGTCTTTTTAAAAGTTAAAAATAACATCAGCCCATTTTTGTTACATTTAATTTGCGACGTTTATCACGTAATAACTCAAATAGATTTAATTTTCATTACACCTATTAATTCTGATATTATATAGACTATATGAATATATAGGAGTTCCTAATTTCAAGTAGGCAAATCGTGGCTACAGCTGGTAACACAATCGTTGTTTTACACTTGTTTAACTTGTGAAGATTTTATTTCAAAGCGCAGCTGTGTTTTCTATGTTGCGACCCCGGATCACCATTGTTTTAACCCGCTGGTTTTCGTAGAAATAGTAATTGTGTACACATAAGTGGGTCAATAAAGACCCTACAACGTGCAGCAGCATATAATGTTTTAAAAATTTGCACATCTTATTTTAAAAACGATTATCAATTAGGTGTTTCGTCAGAAACCAAACCCAGGACATGTAGATTATACAAAATAATCGAAGCACTAAGTTTAGCATATTTAAATTTAGTTGTCAATTATAAACAATTTAGGACTATTTAGAATTATAAAAACCAGTCACAAATCAATGTCAAAATAGAGGTAGTAGCGAATTTATAATTACCGACTCATATTTCTTAAAGTGGCTTAAATACAATGCTCTTCAGTGTACGCCTGTTGTAATTGATTTACGATTTGTGATAAAGTCTATTCTAAGAAATGTGTAAAAGGATTGTATGCGCAAGAGTTTACGAAGAAATATCGGCACATGTCAATCGAAAACGTTAGTATATTGTTTCGATTGTTTGAGGTTAGTGAAAACCATTTTGTTTAGTTTCAAGTTTCAATTTCAAGGAATTGTTCAGGATGAAATAATATTCTTATCAAATTAGGGTACACTGATTTATTAACCCGTTAAACGATGAGGATATATTTAGAAAAGTAATTCCTTTGGGAACATACATGGTTATTAATGCGTTGTGAGCAAATTTTTTTTACTTAAAGGGTTGTTGTTGTAGTTTAATATTTAACAGGAAACCTTCCTGTAAAATATAAGCGAATATTACTTTTCGATGTATTAAGCAAAATATACATGAAAACCTTTTGTCCTTTTAAAAGATATTGGATTTGTCATGGGAGTGATAAGCATAAAATTTCGACTCTAAATAACAAATTACTCTATTAGTTTTATTTTCCTCCTTAAGGTGACTAACAAAAGTGCTTTAAATGATTGCCCAAGCCATATAATCCAAATTATGAACATAGAGACTTATTATTATTATTTTGTATTATCCTAAATTGCAAAGGCATTTGTGTTTAACATTGAATGAAATTTTGCATCATGCTTTGAGGATCATGTTCTATAATTCTATTTAGGTATTAATAATTTAAAACAGTAAACAATCTTACGTTCATATTGAATGTCTCTTTAAACTGTAGAAGATGAAATCATTCCTATTTTGTCTCACTCAAGTGGGTCACTTGCACGTTTTCTTTTCACTGTTATTGTAATATTAATAGATTAAATACATTTAGAGCAAGCTTTCTGGAGCAAATTTAATTTTGAATTATTGGCATTATGTTTGGATCTAGGATTATGGATTTCTCGCTTAAATAATCTATTATTAGTTAGTTTTATAAGAAGCCGTATTTTCGTTGTATTGTATGAACGTTGTAACACAAAGTGAGTGGGATATTTAAAATAGTGTTGAAAATGTGATAGCAAAATGGTTGTGCTGAGGAGGTACCTGGTGGGTATTTTGTATTTTATAGCATTTGAATTTGGAATGTAATTTCTACTGTTAATAATAGAAGTCTTCGTCAATTAAGAAATGTGACATTGACGTATCGTTCCACATAAGCAATATTTAAGACAGTTTTGGCCACACACCACAGTGAAACCAGCTGCCCACTGAAGTATTTCCGAACCGATTCGACTAAGGGTCATTTAAGAAAATAACGTACCAATTCTTAAAAGCCAGCAATGCACTCGCGAGCACTCTGGCATTGAGATTGAGAGTGTCCATGGACGCCTGTATCAATTATCATCAGGTGAAGCTTCTACCCATTTGCAACCTGTTCTAAAATCTAATAAGGTAGTCATCTTAAATGAAAGATGCCCATATAGTTTGGCTTTAACCATTTAATTGAATCATAATAACAAAAGAATTACGTTGCATAGAAACATATTACATATCTTTATACACGTACGTGTGTATGTCAGTGAACTCTTCTTAAATGGCTGGACCGATTTTAATGAATTTTTTGTTTGCGTTTGGGTGCAGATGGCGCTGCAGTCGGTACTTTCATACTTTGTTTAATATCCTAATCGCTTTGAATATCATGCAGGACAACGTCTGTCGGGTCCGCTAGTACTTTATATATGACTTAAAGCGTCTTATGTATTGAATTTGTTCATATTACTCTAATGCCAGTTTGCGTACATGTGACATTATTTACCTTTATCTGGCGGACAGTATTAAAGTACCATTAGAACCTGGGATATCTGAACCTTTATTCTGTAATTTCCACTAGCGGCAGCCATACCGTTTAGGGTCGGTCGGTCGGTCGGGTAGTGTCTCAATGCTGATGTCGCAACCTTGGGGGCTTAAAAGTCTCTCTGGATTTTCTATGATTTTTAGTACAGATTTTAAGAAGGTTACTTATAAATGCGTGTACTGTGGACAGGGCCAGAAGCAGAGAACAATACATATTGATTTTATTTATCACATTCCACTTCTACGAATAAATTTTTATTGTGTTATTACAGTAATGTATAGAAATGAACATCACACTCTTTTAAATTTAACATATATTTTAGAGTACCTTCTTTTCTGCATTTTATGAAATTTCCTAGTGTTAGTTTTCAATGAAATTTGTGATAGTATTGTATTAGCGCAGACAAGTTTTGGCAAACCTTTTTATATATTATAATACGAAAAGGTGTATTTATTTCCCTGGCTCTTTAAACAACGCATAATCGTCAATGAATGTAATAAATAATATATATTTACAGTTGTCGAGTCTCCGTGACGAGGCAGTCGGGGAGTCAGACAAATGGAGACAGAAAAGGAACTATAGCTTTGATCAGAATAGACAATTGGAAGAGGTTACTAAAGAAAGGTTTACAAAAAATTTTTACCACAATTATATAAATTTTTTCACATCCTTAGTTTGATTATTGCATTAGAATTTCATTCAGTTTAAATCTGTTCCGTTGCGTAGATATTTTGTAAAATAAAATAAATGGAACCGAGTGTTTTGAATCATTAATGCTTAATCATAAATAAAAATATGATACTGTTATTCTTCAAAATACCTTGTTCCATAAACATCGTGAATATTTTTTACCTTTCTTTGAATTTAATAAATATGACTTATTCCAGGGACGGACTAAAACGTGTGGCAGACGCGTTGCAACGCGCAGTATCGCAATTGGTTGCGTACTGCGCCAGCGCCGAGGATGAACTTAACCGCACTGTGCTGGCACATCTGCTTCCTAAGTTGCTACCACATGACTCGTAAGTAGATATTAAACTGTACGTGTTGCGTACGTGATCAGATTGTAATTTATCGAGATGTATATATTTAATTGCAAGTTTTTGCCATTATTATGACAATAAATAAATATGAGAGTAAAAAGAAAGTAATCAGAACCCATACTCTGTCACTTCCGATAACGATCCAGATAGGAACACGAATTTTTGTTCTAAGGACAGATATTGAAAATTAAATTACTAGATCTTTTTGGATGATTACCACAAGCTAGAAACCCGACGGAGTTACAGCTTGCCTGCTACGTTTTTACAGTTTTTAGGGGAATTATTAGTAATCCTAGTGAACTCGCTTTATTTGTATATAAATGTATACTATTTGAGACTGCGGAAACGATTTGCAGTCCCTACGGGCAGAGCGATGACACCAGGCCCCTATTGCCCAGGCGTTGCGAGTACTTAATAGTGTCTTAATGTCTCCGAAACGATCGATATTTTTATATGTTTTTAGAGAAAATTCTCAAAACACATTAAATATCCTATGTTAAGTTACAAAATGATCGCATTGGCTATTACTTGTTAGTGTAGTTGTATTATAAATAAATAATTTTTTTAAACATTTTGATGCCTAGATTATGTGCCATATGCATTAAGGATTACCCAGAGAGGTGGTGAACATTCAACTAGTTGCCGATATATATCTTTCTTAGTTTTACTTTATGAAGAGTACGACAGGAATATCTATCTATTCTACATGTACTTAATTATACTCGATATTTGCTGGCGTTGTGCCAAACGGTTTGCGTGTAACTGAAACTGTGGTTTTAGACTTTATTAACTGGCGAACGTCTTCGCAATTATGAATGTGTGAAGTTTATTAGTTTGCGGATTATAAATTCTCCGGTATTTTAATTTCCTTTGAAACTTATTTCCTTAAAGTCAAAGTCAAAGTCAAATCGTTTATTTCAATTAGACCATCTAAAATGGCACTTTTGAACGTCAAAAAAAAAAAAATATAAAGATGATTCTAGTTGCCCCTTCCAAAAGGTAGTTTCGTGTGGAGAAGAATGGGCAAGAAACTCCACACTTACTCTTTTAAAATAGGTTTACAATATTTTGTTACATTTGTTAAATAATTATATGTGAAGACAATGTACTCTTAGAATAAACTACTATACTAAAAAAGTTAGTATACATGTTCCTCACATATTTACAAATATCGAAACCTTAGAATATTAACATTAAAGAGTAATAAAAATATTAAAAAAACACAACAAAACAGTGTGTGAGATACAAAAAAAATAATTTGTAGCATTATATAAATTAAAAAAAAAAAAAAAATAACAAAAATTAACATATTTAGCAAAAAATCAGCAACCAATTTGATTTTGTCCAGGCTATAGAGCCAATCATAGGATTGTCCTATGGAGCAGGACCAGCATGTTTCCAAGCATTCTTATCTTGAATTGTGTTTACCCAAGATATTTCTGAATGGATTTTGATTTTTTGAGAAAATTTTTAATTTTTTCATAGAAAGCCGAACAAGATAGTTTAAAAATATACTTAATAACATTTTTATGACACTTTTTTTACCACTTTTCAGTTAAAACTAATTGGAAATCTAGTAACACGGTTCCAATACTCTGTAACTTCCAATAGCAATAGTCTAAGTACATGCGTACGTACGTATGTCTCGACGTTTACGAATGCAATTTCGATGTAGTCCTTTATATCGTAGTTCCCATATCCGTGGTGTCCATAGGAGCGCTAACTATCAATCCTAAAGTCGGCATCAATATCACTATTGAAAGTTACAAAACCGGTTCTCCTCGTTTGTTCTGGGGCTCATAAGCTTTCTCGATCTATTCCAGCACCTTAGAAGATTCGCGTCCCGCAACACCTGACTTGAGTGTGAGCTTGGTCTCCCGTGGAAAACACGTACATTTTGCACCTGACCTTGATTCCATACTCGGTTCTCTGGATGAGGAAGGCGTCCTGGGTTTCCTGCAGCAGCAAAGGGACCTCAGTGCCGAGCTGAAGTTGGAATTAGAGCATTCTCTGAAGAGGTTACGCCAAGAGGCCCAGGAATTGTTGGACTTGTCTAATAAATTGGCTATTAATAGTAAGTTTTACTTTCACTTCGTACAAATACAACTAGTAGTAATTTAAATTTTTCGTAAAGTTATAGTTATTCTTACAATTTATAAGATACAACAGCTTTTTACAGACAACAATTATTGAGAATGGTTTCGATTACAAAATCGCAATTTATTATAAATTACACTTTGAAATAGGGTAAAATAAGATATGGACCTTTTTTTTCACTCGGTCAAGAGGTCAAAATTTTCATGAATGTTGCCACTACTAACTACCAGTATTTACTGAACATGTGCCATAATAAGGACGGTCAATAAAAATACTTGTTTGATTTACAGAGCAAAACGATGAACAAAAGATGTTGGAGGCAAGTGAAGTTCAGATCTCTGAGCTGGTTGAAGAGCTGGAGCGGAAACATCAGCGATGTGACAACTGTGAGATGCAGAGGAAGGTAATGGGCTGAGTTTAATTTGTTAGAGAGAGGGAGAAAGAGATCATACATTAAAAACCGTGAATAATGAAATATTTATTAACATTTCAGAATATGGAGGAAGCAATGTCTGAATGTCTGCAACGAGAGAATCTACTCCGATCAGATTTAGATTCGGCCATGATGAAGATCTCTCACCTGATGACGCTCGGTGACAGACCGCTGAGTGACGACATCGTTGAGGGGTGAGTCATTATTACTCAAGGTGTTTTAAATTCATCGCTTTGAGAAAAGTATTCTGAAAAACTCAGATGATAAAGAATTAATATCCTATGTTGTTGTATCTCTTATGACGTTGTATCAAGTCACGTATTAATATAAAATTGATTGCGATTAATTCCTGCAAAGTAATATGATTTAAAAGGCAGTGGTAATAAATGAACTATCGTAATTGCAGCTACGGCACGGGCGGCGTACGCGCGTCCTCCCGCGGCACGGGCTGGTGCTCGTTGGACGACGCGCTCTCGCCCAGGCACAACCACCACGAGTTCGAGGCTCTGCTCAAGGAGAGGGACGATTTGCAACAACAGGTAATTCATTTCTCCGTATGCTGCTCTTTTAGACATGCATTTTTAATTTAACGGATTAATTTATTGTACATACGTATATATGAAAGTGTTTGATAGTTAAATTAAAAGCGAAGAGGACGCTTTTTTGCTATAATCCTCATATACATGTATATTTTATAATATATCCGTAACTTAAATGATAAAATGCTTATATTCTTGCACTCGGCACGCACACATGCACAGATCAAATGGATGACAAACTCGCCCGTGCATAAAATTTGCTGCAATAAGGTAAACTCAAAAGTTAAGGCCTCAATCATTAACACGCCATAAGTATCTACTAGTTATTATTATTTGCTTTAATTGTAAAATAATGTTCTAGAAAATTCTCGTTTCAATATACGCTTTATTTAACGATAATTATTTGTACATAAATTGCTGTATTTTAGCTTTATGTATCGCTTTGTACTCTTGTGTATGTGTTGCATTTCTTTATCGCTATTTTTGTTTATTTTAAACGATGAACTTCATTTAGTACCGTGTATGTTGTTAGTTTTATTTTACAATAAATTTGTTAAATTGTAGTACTTTTATCCCCCTATAACGTGGTGATTTCTCAATGTATATTTCTGTAGGGTGAAATTTATAATGATTTGTCAAGTCCAAATTTATGTTTGCGTACCTTTGCACTTGTTTCAACTGTGTTAAAAAATTTAAATAATTATATTAAATTCTTGTTCGTGGTTTTTGAAAACGATTTTACGAGAATACTCCTACAACGCGATCCGGGTCTACCGCGTTATACCGTATTTGTTTAACGTGTAACTTTGTTGGAAAAATCTACTTAGGTCTGTAATTATGAGATTTTATATAAGCAGACCTAATCAGGTTTTATTTAGTCAATTGATCATTGAATGTGAATATATTTCTATTAACACTTCACAATGTAACAGCTGGAAGCAGCAAACCGTCAGCTGAAGTCGACCCGTCAGTTCGTGGAGGAGCAAGCGAGCGAGCGCGAGGCCGAACGCGACGAGTTCGCCAAACGGCTGGCCGAGTTGAGGGAGGACAACAGCAGACTCAGCACTCGACTGCAGAGCAACGCCAGGATCATGAGCGAGGTCGGTTTTGTTCTTTGTGTTTGCAGAACGAAATGTTTTTTTTTATTCTGAAAAACTATAAGAGCTGAAAAAATAACTTTTTCATGACTAAGCTTTTTTAATTCGTTCTGTTTCAAGTGTAAAACATTAATTAATGGTAATCTTCAGTAATATTGAATGGAGAATTTGTTGAATACAGTAAAAGCTTTATATTCGCGTAGTATATATGTTCCATAAATATGCCAGAAACCGTGAATACGGAATGATAATTTATATGGGATTATAGGGATACGTTCATAGGTGACGAAAAACGGGAATACCATGTACAACATATTTTAGGCAAAGTTGTAATAAGGTCTGTTTTACTTTTGTATTAGTCCATTTGACGGCGTTTACGAGGATTATTGGGTTGGATACCTATTGGAATCCCTTTTATTATTATGTATGTACTGATTAGATTCGCGAATAAAGAAATCTTTAGCCGCGAATATAGGAATTGGGTCGCATTTTTTTAGTTCGCAAATAGTAAAAACGCGAATTAGGAGCTTTTACTTTATTGTATTTACCACAAATAAAGTAAATACAACAAATTCTTCGTTCAACACTAACCTTTGGTTGAGGATTTAACTTTAACTCTTGCACAGTTACTTCGGTTATGGTTTTGATATTGTGTTTTATCTTCACGAAATGCACCACACTAATGCACCACACTAATGCACCGAACCGTTTTTTTCTTTTTCTTTGCACTAACAATAACACTTATGTAGTCAATAGTTTTAAATTCTATTCCCAAATGTTAACCCTTTGATGATAAATTCAAAAGACGCTCGGGGTTGTAGCTCTGAGACCCGAGTCTACTGAGACCTTTATAAAGATCTAAGTCCACAAATACAGATCTGCTGCTTACGACTACCTCAGTGCAACTGTCGTCAACACGATGCACATGTAAGTGGTTTTCCCCTTCGCATAGCTTTCACTCATTTTCACTCTCTATTTAGCATTTACAGTAGATTTACGCTCTCCTATTTAGTTCGTTGCCGGTATTGTTAAGTCCTGTAGCTTTGCCTTTTTACTAATAATTTAACAAATGCATGAGTTTGTGTCTATTGTTTTATTACATTGCTTCGTTGTATAATATTTTAACTTGAGTTGCCATCGTAGTTAGCCAGTTTGGATGACAAAGAAGGAACTTGAAATCTTTGGAACGTGCCAAAATGAATAAACGTACTTATCGGGCGAATTTGTAAATATTATATTAAACTCAGGTGGAGCAATTAGAAAATCAGACACGTGAAATGAACCAAATAATAGCTGATTTGGAGACGAAAAAGGCTGAAAATGACAAAGAGCTTAAAGCTGCCGCAGAAGGGGCGGTTCTATTACGCGACATCATTGCCAAGCTTGAAGCTCAGCTGGAACAGAAAACAATCAGAGAAACAGAAATTCTGGAACAATTGGAAGAAATGAAACGCACGATAGACGAAAGAGATAGCAAGATGAGGATAGTGCTCGGTGAACTGGAATCGTTGAGGAGTGAAAGAGTCGATATTAGTGATGTTACGTGCGTGAGGTGTGCGCAAGAAGAGGATAGATATACCGAGTATCTGGAGAAGATTCAAGAACAGGTAAAGTCCTATTCATTGTTGTAATATGTTCCCATTGAGAACAATAATAGTAGACGTAGTTGTGGTGATAATGATTTTTCATAAATGAATTTATGTATAGGCCTGTTGGCTAGAAGAACACATACACCGTCGCACGCGCAGTCTGGAACGCACCCATGAAATCTGCTCTCAACCCACTTCAGAACCAAGCGAAGATGTTTCTATACGAGACCAAAAGGTAATATTATTTTAGCGACGTTTTTAATATTTGTAAAAAAAACTGAAATTATTAATGAACAATTTTGTTCACCTCTAGATCCTTCTAGAAGGTTGTTATTAATGTTTTATTCTTTATTAAAACTCATGATTTTCCGAAGGTGCGGTCTCCAGACAGCGCCAGTCCGCGTATAGAGCGTCTAGCGGAGCTGAGCCGAGTATGGGAAGGTATCGAAGCACTCACGCGAGCTGAAGACGCAGTGCTCAAGAGGGTCAAGGACCTGGAGATGCAACGGGCGACTCTCAATGACATCGCTCAGGTAAGTCTACAGCTAACATACATATATAACAAAAATCAATTATACTAAAGATATGTACCAAAATGGTTCAAACAGTTTCAAAAGGGTAATAAATGGTTGTCTGTAAAGTCGGTTTACGGATGATAGTTTACCGTGTCAACGTCATAACAAAACATTGATGAAATGATATGCATATTTTTATGAATAAAATGGAATCATTTATTATTATTAAATTATCACTATTTTAAATGGTTACAAAGAAATAATGAATCCTCGGACGCATAGGCCAATCGAGTAGGAAGGAAGAGAGGTAAATGCGGCGCAAGCGTACAATGAGTCATGATTGTCCGTGCGTACAGCCGGCGTATAAAGTAAAAATAAAAAGAGAGTAAAAATTATTTAATACATTAACAAAGTAATGCCTAATTTGGCTGTGTTGTCTGTGGTGTAAAAGTGAGGGTATAAATATCTTTCAAACTTAGCAGCTTAAATAAACAAGCTATTTAATGTGCCAATGGGCATCTCACGAGTCCTTTGTCTGTGAATTAAACTCATTATAACAATACAGTAGCGCTACAACCCTAAAGGTCAGTACTCACATACGGTATTACTCGATAGTTTTACTCGAAGTCGAGTAAAAATCAACGTGTGGACCGCAAAACTCACAGCTCGAAGGAACGCACCGAGCCGGCTCGATGGAATTAAATGAAAGTAATTTCCTTCGAACCTACTCGAAGCTAGATGTCAATCTTGACTCGAACGTGTGTACGTGACTGCGAGTGGCGCGAGGCGAGCGTCAGTCTGGTACTGTTTATCGTGATTGAAACACGTGTTTTTAAGAGAAATGGATTTGCGAGTTTATTCCAAATGCGCTATAGAAGACTTTATTAACACATATAGACAGTGTGAGTGTTTATGGAATGTCAAATCCAAAGATTACTCCCACAAAAATAAGAGAAATGAATGTTATGATAAATTACTAGCTGTGCTTAACGTTTTTTCTTTTCATTTCCTTTAATTTTCTTATAAAGCACTGTGAGACTTGCTAAATATAGCCACCATCTCCTTTGTTGCACAGACATACTTTGGCTCGAACGGTTCGGTGAATACTGAACGGCGCGCCTTACTCGATAGATCAATGCTTAATGTGTGGACGAAAGCCCATGCCATGGGTTTTACTCGACAGTTTAGCTCGATCGAGTAATACCGTATGTGAGTACTGGCCTTAAGTGGGTCTTGGACTCAGTTTGCATCCGTTTCTTTGAAAAATTTTATTTGATGACAAGTAGGGTAGGAGCTATCTGACACATGTCCTCGATTTTTTTTATTTGAGACACGAGAGGTTTCACGATGTTTTCTTTCTCCGTACCAGCAAGTAATGCGCACGTAGACAGAACGTCCATTGCTCAACAGCCGGAGAACGAAGTCACTCGCGCAAGCCACTACGCCGGCACTAAACTCATAAGCATTGTTTAATTGATTGATGCCTCTAGTACATTTTAAAATGCCGGCAACGCACTGGCGAGCCTTCTGGCAATACGAGTGTATGGACACTCGTATCGCTAACCTCCTGCCCTCCTATTACATTTAAAAAAAATGTTGATTCCCCCTATTTCATCTATTAATTTACTTACTATTATTTATCCCCCTCCCCTATTAAGTATCGGGTTTGTTGTCTCTCTCACACTTATCATTTTCAAATAAATAATTTAAATCATTAATTATAACTACCACAACAGTGTTGATTTCTGTAAAATATTGATCATTAAAACCCGTTGTAATAAACGAACATATCGACAGTGTGATTTTCTTGTGACCTTGGAAAGGCTGGCGCTCGTCCAAACTGTTTTGGTAACTCTTGCTCTCGTGTAGCGATGCCAATATCGCTCTATGATATATTTTGTATAAGATGTGATTGATTCGTGAAGGGCATGATAGTAGATTCAATGCATCTGAGTTTAAACAGTTACGTCTAGCAGAAAAGAAAGGCTGATTATCTACTTAGTTATAGAAGCAATATAACTTTAATCTTATCAAGTACTTTACTTAGACAATAGTTGGCGTATTAATTTGAAACAACTATATCCTGGATTAGAAAAAGCTAACAAAATGGTATTTAACTTATGTATCTTACCGTGTGTCACATACCGCTACCAGACTTGGGCATTATCTCAGAAACATCTTTTAAAGTTGAGAACATGCCTAAGAGGAATGGAAAGAAGCATGGTGAGTGTAACACTTAGAAATGGACAAAAGTTATTACAAGATGGCAATCACGCGATGGAAAAAGGAAAAGAAGAAGACAGCAAGAGAAGGGCAGACGATATAAAGAAAATAGGAGGCACAAGAAGAGCTAACATTAGCAAAGATTGGAAGCAGCTGAAAGAGGCATGATGTATTAGATCCTGGATTAACATATAACTTTAGCGTCTACTATCGATAAAAAGATGAATTAAATATCTTCACCGAACGAACAGCTATTCTAATAAAATCGGTTTAATAAACAGCTCTGAGAAGTCTGTTTATTCACAATAAAACTCCTAATTACCAAACCAGATGAGCAATGTAAACACTGCCGGCTTTATGCTCGTAATAATGCTTTGAGTTTGCGTGGCGCAACAATGGATGAACGCTATGTTATTGCCTTCACAGCGCAGTGATTGCACTTAAGCTTTTGTTTTAAGTCATTAAAATCAATTTGGATCTCGGCATCTACAATTTTCATAAAACAACTTGGAATTATGCAGTGTATTTCCTTGTCGCTGAAGTATTTTACTTATGTATATCTGTTCTTAGTGTACGATATTTTAATACTCGCTCTATGTGTAATGGTGTTGAAATACAAGATGTTTTAAAGACTAATATAATAAGTTTTTAAGAAAGATACAGTCAAAACCGTTTACGACGACATGGTTTTGAACAACATACCGGCTATATTGACCAAAATCAAAGGTCCCGGCTGAATTTTTACGACCAAATATGAGTAGACCCTTCGATGTCGTTATAGCAGATTTTAACTGTATTAATAAAATTATTATATATTATGTCGTGGTAGAATTTACAGTATAATGTGAAGTTTCGAAATGCCATCTATGTGGAAACGATATTTTCAATATCGTTATTTTCAACCCATTCACGTCCACTGCTGGATATAGACCTCATAGACTTTTCCCCAGAATTTCCAGTACGACATCTGTTAGATGATCTGTCCACCTAGTGGGAGGTCGTCCAACGCCTACCTTAATGCCTATATTTTCTTATAGCTTAAGCCTTGTTTATAGGTGTACATTACATTGAACCTAACAAATTACACATCAACATTTTTTACAATACATTGCGCCCATAAGTGATCTAAATATATCCTTCGTTAGTTAAAAGTTAAATTTATGGACACTGCCGCGGCGTGTTACTACCATTATTCTAAGAACAAAATGCCGATTTTAACAAATGTTCCATTATCGTAAATGTTCTATTTCTAGATTGTAGGAAAACGATTTTGTTGCTTTGGTTCATTGCGGTGTAAAATCCTATTCGGAGAATTATTTAAGAATTTTTTAATAACTGAATGCGATTTACTTTATTAAAAATTGTTTTACAAATTTATTATTTATTATTTATTTTTGATATTTTACTCACACACTCACATCACTCACATTTCTACAAATTAAACTAATATGTCACGTAAAAAAAAAATATTACCCAATTTACGTGATAAAAGTACGGCCATAGAATTTTGTTCCTTTGTCAAGAGTTTTTCTCGTACATATAATTTCCGCGCATTGAATGCACTCGATTTTCCCTTCAACGCGCATATCTCAGTTTCCCGTAACGTGTAGAGGCGTTCAGTAGCGTGCGCGCATCCGATGTTTAAAAGTGTTTTCTGCTGCAAAAAGGTTATTAATCATTTCTTCATCATCTAAATCATGTAACGTGTGAGTAGATTAGTTTGCCCTGTGTGGGATGTTCTTGTGGAGTCGTATCAGACAGGTGTTTGCGATGGGCCTACCGGAGTATACGGTGAGTGAATTTAACTTTTGGCCTGAGTGTTTTTGGAACTTGTAGTCAGTCATGCTCTGTTTGTTTGAAATTTAGAATTATTAGATTAATTCGAAAAAGACAGCTATTTAGTACATAGAACGCTTCATATTACCTATAATTAAAGGAGTGGCGGAGAGTTTATTGCCAGTTCTTCTCTTCCGTTCTACGCCCTTGATTTGAGCACTGGCAGTAAATGTAAAATTAGAAGCATTTAATATATATTTCTTTTTTGACTTAAAAAAAACATTGTTATGTGCCTATCTGATACCTAATTCGCTGTTTTGTTAGTAATTTATTTTGTAACATTTATGTTTACCATAATCGTCATATAGGAAAAGATATCTTTTAACATATGCTGTGGATATAGCATTATGTTTGATGTGGTAAACTTTAATAATAAATATGTTATGTTTACATTTAAATTGTTTGTTAGTATTGACGTAATTTTATAATGATTGCTTAATATGTTACATTATAAATGCCATAACCAATCATTGGATTATGATATACAGTCAGGGATTGAATTCGTTTTAGTTTCATATTAGTATATTTAATTTCGGTTTTAATACGTCCAATTATAAAAGTCTTTAATGCTTAAAGTTTTGATTCTTTTCTATACGTAGTTACAAATTATTTATTTACACTTTTTAAACATAAAGTAAAAAAACATGATGCAACGCTTCTAAGCGATCTTTCCAGGCAACCCTAATTAAAGAAAACAGTATAAAAATAATTATGTAGAATGCAAAACGTAATTTATAATATTATATAGGTACTAAGTCTACTACACAACTGTAGGTACATTTAATTTCCTCAAATAACAAGGGTTTTCCTCTTGTAATATCATTGTTTGTGTTACATTTAAGTGTAGTAAAACGTCATATTTTTGTATTACTTGCCGTCCATTATTCAGTGATTCAGAACCAAATCAGGTTATTATTTTGTGATTTTTATATTACCTGTGTCTTAAAGCTTGAAGCCAA